CTAGAGGTTTCCTAAACCCCAGATGAGCCCTAAACAGTGTGTAGCATTCTTTGGGGCTGAGGGTTTGGGCTAAACCCTAAACCCTAAACCCCTAAACCCTAAACCCTAAACCCGAACCCCTCAACCCTAAACCCTAAACCCTAAACCCCTAAACCCTAAACCCTAAACCCCTAAACCCTAAACCCTAAACCCTAAACCCGGGTTTGGTGCGGGGCTGGGTTTCCAGTTTTTGGGGCTTGCAATTTATGGCTTCTGGAATCAGGGATTGGGGGTTTTGAGATTTCTGGGTTGAGAGTTTGTCGCTTCAAAGTTTGGGCTTTCTGTGTTTAGGATTTGTAGGGTTTCTGGGCTTTGGTTTGGGGGCTGAGGGCTATAGGCTTTGCGCTTTCAATGGGATTCTGGGCATACGGTTTGGAAATCGGGTTTTCCTTAACTTTCAAGGCGGAACCTTACACTCCCAAACTTGATCCCCAAAGCTTGCCAGCCCCCAGTAACCTAGGAATGAAGAGGGAAGAGTTTTGAAAGGAACCTAAGAGACCACCAAGAGTGACGAAGGGCCCACTGGGAGACCTAATTTAGCCTGCAGGATCACCAGCTTTGCATCTTTCGAAGATGCGGACGGACCAGAAAGTTTGCGGTACTTGGGTCGGAAGATGTAAAGTGCAAAGATTGTGTACGGCATAAATACATGAGCCTCAACCCCCCCGAAGCCCTGAACCCCACAAACCTCAGCCCCTAGAGCCCCTGAACACCCTGAAACTCTAAACTCAAGCCCTGAATCCCTTTAGGGTTTAGGGTTTAGGGTTTAGGGTTTAGGGTTTAGGAATCCCACAGTAAACCGTAGGTGCAACCCAGCAGCATACCGCCGGACTTGAACGACATCGTTGTTGGAGGCCTCTTGCTTCGGCATCGTTGGCAGCTTCGGGATCATAAGCTTGATGGGCTTCGGGTTTGGGGTTCAGGGTTTAGGGTTTGGGGTTTAGGGCTTGGGGTTTGGGGTTTGGAGTTTGGAGTTTGGGGTTTAGGGTTTGGGGTTTAGGGTTTGGGGCTTAGGGTCTGGGGTTTAGGGTTGAGGATTAGAGATCAACGGCTTTAAAGGTTCCAGATAGTATAGGACCTGCGCATAGCCCGTATCAGTAGCGTAATCGTTTGTCGCACAAGCCCACGCAAAGAAATCCCTTCGATTTCAAGGGGCAAGTGGCCATGCGATGCGACCCCCCGACCCTAAACAGCAAACCTAATCCCTACAACAAATCTACGGCCATACAGCCCTAAATCCCGAAACCCTTAAAGGCCTAAACCCAACACCTTATCAACAAAGCAACACAGCCATAGCCACAAAAGCCTATAGGCTTTCGGATGTTACACACATCACTTTGAGAGAACATTTGATAAAGGAACCTTAATATCTGGGCAGGGTTTTGGGATACTAATATAAGGAATCGTACGACTCTTTGTCAGGCTTGGATATGAACCTTAGGACCCGAAGATCTAGCGATACCTTGAAGCCTGAACCTCGGTAGGCCTCGTGAACGGTATTAGAACTATCCAGGCTTATACAGATTTTATGTGGGGTTATCGTACCCGATAAAGGATAGCGGTTACCGAGAGGGGTGTCGCTGTCCTTCATACAAGAGGACAACAAGAATATGTAGTCCTCGTCGTGGTTCTCCTCCTTGCTGCTTGAGCTTGAGTTGTGGTTCTGGTCATCAGTCTGCTCGTCCTTGATGAGAGCGATGTTGCTGGGGTCAGTTGAAGCTGTCGCTCTACCTTTCTCCGGGGCTTTCTCCGTGAAGTCCTGCTTGTCATCGTGTCCCACTTCATCACCATCAGGCCAGGGTACCATCCTCGGCCCTGAACACCAAAATCCACACCCTGCTGCAGTCCGAACCCTTAAGCCTCAAGCTCCTGCGATGATGGATAGACGAAGCACGCCTTGAGGGCTCACGGCTATAGTTATTCAGTACTAACCGAGACGAGCAAAGACAAGCATAAAGAAAACATAGAGGCACAGCAACGCTAAACCCTAAACCTACAAAGCCCTACATCATGAACCCTGCCCCAAACCCTTGAATCTAAACCCAAACAAGCCCGGAGCCCTAAACCTTCAAAACCCCAAATCCTGTGACCAAAGGCAGGTACGGGAAGCTCGAAGTCTTCGATGAAGGAATACCGCACCTGGGCTTCACTCCTTTGGAGCTTCTTGTGGCTTCTATTCCAAGGGGACCTACTAGAATCCTTGTAGGGTTTGGGATACTTAGAACCCTGAACCGTAAAGCCGTAAATCTAAGGTTACAAGCCTGGGCCATCTAAGGTTCCAAGTATGGACCCCCTACTATGAACCCGTAGGCCTTGCTAGAAACCCTTCAGGGTACATAGGGTTTAGGGTTTAGG